GATGGATGGATGGATGGATGGATCAGTATCTATAACAACCCAAACACACAGGATTTCAGAATTAGACTTTTATTGTGGAGTAACTCAGTTAGTAACTCAGTTACTTTTGGGAGAAGTAACTAGTAACTATAACTAATTACTTTTTCAAAGTAACGTGCCCAACACTGTACATTCTACCTTCACAATAAAAGCTTACATTACATGAAGGGAAGCAGTCATATTTCCACCATAATATATTCTATTTTCTATAAATGAAACCATAAACCGTTAGATTTGGATGATATTTTCAGTTCTAGAAAAAGGTCTGATTAAAAGCAGGGGGCGCTGTTGTCCCTCTGCGCTCAGACTGGGTCTCTGGCATCACATGTCGGAACTGGCAGAGCTGCGACGTCTGACCCAGTTTGGAGGAAGCGCTCTTTGTCACATTTCCTCCCGTCAGAAACTCATCTCATTCAGAAACCAGCGTGGCGTGGCGCGGCGCGGCGTGGGGCGGGGGAGAGGGACCGCAGCCACGCGCACAGACTCTGCAAGTTTAGCTGCTGCCACACCGGGTTCTGGTTCAGGACGGGCTCCTCTCAGGTAAGACCTGCAGGGATGGGGACTTCAGGGAGGTGTCTGACTGACAATCTGCAACAGCAGCTCCTCACCGAGGAGGAGCAGAGGGAGGAGGAGGAGCAGAGGAGCGCTGCCAGCAGGGCGCGTGCTGTCTGTCTGAGGTGATCAGCGGGATTATGGCCCCACAAAGTCTGGTTGTTTACAGGAAACTGGTCCTGTGATGCTGCAGGCGCCTGATGCAGACCGTGGATGTCCTCCATGCTGCTGCTCTCCTCTTCTTGGTGGTTTAGAGGGAATCCTGTTAAAGTTTGGTTTGCTCTGAAACTGATCTTTACCTGAGTGACGTATCTGACTGATTCTGGCCTCACCTTTACAGCTGCTGGGGTCCATTAGGTCAGGATGGTCTGGATCCTCAGAGCAGCTTTCACAGTCTGCTGTTTCACCAGCAGAAACATCCAGAAAATCATTCATAGACTGTATGTATGATAAAGAAATGATACAGATAGATTAGCAAGGAAACAGAGAAAGGAGAAAACTAAATATGTTAGATGAAAAATAAAAACCTCACTAAGGAAACAGAAAAAAGCACAAATAATAATTCCATATTGTAAAATCTTCAATATTAAAAACATGAATCCAGACACATGACAGAACTTAATTAGAACTTGATAATTGGCCAGAATATAAGATCATGGTTGATAAAGTAGTTTATATCAAACGCTGTCGTTTTAATTTATTAAAATATGAGTAAAGATCTTCTCAGGTCAGAATGAACAGATAAACATCAGTCTGAGCAGAGGAGCCTCACTGTGGGAGGAGCTG